TTGCATGGGCCAGCTTTTGTGCTTACAGATTTGCTTTTGATCATCCAGAAAACAGTAGTGTCCATTCATTATAAGTGCATACATTTTAAATATGATCATATTATATTTAAAATGTAACTAAAATACAGGTTAGAGATGCATCGTATGTTATGTCTTTTACAAATAGTTGTATTCCATATATGTTCGGTGACAGCAGTATTTCCTTCACATTCTTTTCCTTTCCATCTTTTAAAACAGTAAACAAAAAGAAAGGCTAAAATTAGAAGCAAAATTGAACTACTTTTAGAATCTCAAGAACTGAATTGTAAGGAAAAGCGCAGAAAGTATTTCATGTGTGTGCATGTCTGTGAGAGAGAGAAATTGTTTTATAAAGATATTAAGGGCACACGCATTGGACCATTTCCTTAGAGCTTCAGTGCACCTTGCTGGTTTTCTGTTTTAGCTAATGGTTATTGAAATAATTTCTATTTTCTTTTTCCACTTTATATACATCTTGGGATGCTGCATGCATTAAAATGTGCATGGATATACTTTCTGTGAGAAGGACTCTTAAGCGATACTCTAATTCAGTGGTATTTGTGTAACCTGATTCCTCCTCCATATGTCCTCAGTATTCTAGTCTAGAGCTAATCTGCAATACAAGACTGGATCGCATAAAGAATCTGGCCTTCAGTCAACAAAACCCTTTTCTGCTGAGAAGTGAAAGATAAAGAAAAAGATGTAATTGCTATAATGACGGGTTAGACCTTTAGATTCATGCTGCTATCAGTGATTCCTGTGGTGCTCTCTCGCAATCATGGTTTAGTGCTGACTAGAGAGACAAGACAGGTAAAGACTGTAAAACACTTCAGCAGCCCTTGATCTAAATGCCTGTAGGAGAGCCACACCTCTCATTTGCAGATGGTGGTGCTGGCTCCAAATGCGAGGGCAGCAGAGTGGATTGTCTTGGAAGGAGAATCTTGGAATATTTTTCACATGTGTAAAAATTAAATAAATGAAATCCCCCTAAGTTAGTCCCTCCGTTCCCAGGATACAATAGTAAACTCTAAATTATTTTTAATCTGATGAGGCTGTTGTATCTGCCATATGTACACACACATACACACACACACACATATATATATGAGCATTAGAGATTATATATATTTATTAGGTCTTCAGTAATCACATAATCAAAGAGAAAATTTCTCTTGTGTAGGGATATGCTTGCCAGAGCTGTTATATTTCAGTGCTGTCAAATCAATGCCAAAACCATTCCAAATACTTTCAGAATTTCTTACGTCTTACTTCTTACTTTATTGTCAAAGTCAAACTTGAAAACGAGTGTACAGCATTAGTAAATACTTCTATTTTTATTCTGAGTTTGAAGGATTGTTGGATTATGGATTTAAAATAAGTATTTCCAGCTGATGCTGATGGAACTATACAATAATTTTATAGCCATTCAGGACAAAGGGTATTGGCCCTAATCCTGAAACTCTTATTGATGCAATTAATCCTTATATCTGTGAGCTGTGTCACTGAAGTCAACTGGAACTTTTGCATGAGTAATAGTTGCAGAACCAGCCTCAGTCATTTAAATCATGATTATCCCCAGAAAACAACTGCAGATTTGCTCTTGTAATCATTTTTTTGTAGAAATCACACAGATTAAAAGCAGATGTTTTGTAGAAGTACTTAAGTGTACCTTCCTTGTTCTGCAAATGTCATAATCCATAGCAATTTTACTTGTTTCACTTTGAAAATGAGTTTGCATCATTATTTGCGGATTTGGCCAACCCAAATATGTACATTGTGAAAGGGTCCAGCTGGTCAGAAGGATATCCCATCCTAACGGTAAACCAAAGGTATGTTTCATTCGCTTTGCATCTTTGTTGGCACTTAGAAGGACTTGCAAAGAAAAAGAAAATGAATAGGTTGTTGATATGACTGATGTCAACCAAAGGATCATTTTCTCCTTTTCTGATATGCTGCAGTTAAAAAAGGTTTCATTTACTTCTGATCATTAATTGACAAAATCTGCACAAAACACATAATTCCTACTCCATTCCTGGGTTTGGTGATTCCCAAAGCTGAGCCACAGAAGTGATAACGGGAGAGCCTTAAAGACCAGCTATAAAGGCAGAGAGAAATTCGAAGTGGTAGTGTTACACTGCATCTGTATGCCAGGCAAGTTATTTAGCTTGTCTTAAGAAATACTGATACTATAGTTCGCACTCTTTCTACTTCATAGCCTCATGACACAATGTGTCACGCAGTGCATGAGCAAAAACATTTGACAAGATACAATATCCTCAGTTAAAAATTACTGTATTCATGAGAAACATTTTATTTCTGTGAGTAGTATACATTTCTGTTGTACTTGTGACAGTATGTTTAATTTTTCTGGACTCCATTTTCATAATCATTCAGTTAATTTATGGCTAAGTTCCACACCATCATTTATGCTTACATTCCATAATTGACTTCATAATGCAACACAAAGATTGCAACCTTTTGGAGAGAGGTTCTCTCCATCTTCTAGTAAAAACCTTTAACGTAAATGACTGAGACCAAGCCTGCAGCTATTATGAATGAGGTACTAATCTGGTTTACTTTCCCTTCTTTTAGTTAGAAGCCAAAGATCATATAGAAATACTAGGTATGTTTCAAGGAATTTTTAGTAACGCATCCATGTCCACAAATAATAGGTGCAATCAGAAGATAAACTACAGGATGTACACACAAGTAAGGAGGGATATCTGAAGCCTGCCCTTATAGTGACAGCAGACTTACAACATTTCAGTGGATAGCAGCTAGCCCCTTAATCCTCTGTGTGCTTCTCCCAGACAGCCATATCACATATTCACTCTTGTACAAATCCTGCGTATTATGCCGGCCGGCACTCTTACTCTACAAAAAAGTAGAAGTGATCCCTCTCACTGTTTATTCAAAGCAAGTGATGAATATACTATTTAATATTTAAATTCCCCAGGAGTATTGAGGGCCCAAAACTAGGTTTATAAATGCAGCTTCTCACAATTTAAGTGTTCCAAAGACAACATCTGAATGACATAAAGAAGCATGTTAGAGTGGGATGCTGAGTAAGGAGAGGAACAAACACTACTGGTTGTCCACAAATTTTAGCAATTGTAGAACCAGTGATTATGGCTTGCAATCTGGTTAGGCATGGTTAAGTTCATCTGTATTTATTATGGGCAATGGAGGATTTTGAGGAGAAAGTTTAAGGAAGATAAAATAGTGAGCAGCGAAATGGAAAGGTCAATGTTAAAATACTTGTCAGAAAAATAGATGTTTGAGATAGTTACTAGTGGTGCAAATGTGGAAGGGTGACCTTTCAACTGGCAACCCTGTAGGCTGGATAGATATTAATGATGAGAGGCCTTTAAATGAAAACAGAAGAAAAATAAAGCAGAAGATGATCTATTTGAAAAATTATTTCCCCGTCAAGGTAGAAGGATTTCCAACGTGCAAGTCTGTAGGCATTGTGTCTAAGATGAGATTGCAGTAGTGACATTATAAAGTGACCCAGGCTCAGTCAATTGTTTTGGCATTGTAGGCTGAGGCGAAAAGGTTGTATTTTAGGAATTATTGTGCAAGATATTCATGGTAGTGTGTTTATCAATCACATATGTGAGTCCTTAGTATTTTTATTACCATTAGAATTTTGTGCAATGATAACAAAGTATCAGCGGTAGTGATTTTCTTGTCCTGCCTAAGGAGACTATACCAGAAAAAAGAAAATAAGGTTTTCCTTTATTCCTTATTATCCTATAAAAGATGATCTTCTTTCTTCAGATGCAGAGCCTCTATTTCAGTTACCTTTCCTAAAATGTTCCTTTTCAATGTTCTGCTACTGATTTAAAGAAATAGCATTAATCTCACCATGTATAGAAAATATTTTACAGAAATTGTGTTAAGGTAGTTTCAGGATCTAGAAATAAAAGTGGAAGAAAACAAATACTGTCTAGAGATTCAGTCTCTACAGAGACTGTAGCATTGAAGGATATAGCCTTCAATCACTGTCAAATCTATGAAATTAGCAGACTTTCAGCATTCCCAAAAATGCATATGCCTTCCAAATTTACAACACTATTTATTTTTTAATTGTGTTTAGGCATTTGGGTATGTGATGATGGCAGCTGTTTTTTGTAAGATTCTGCTTAGAATAAGAATATGCAATATTCTTATTAGTAGGGTATTTCTTGGGGAAAGACAGGAGAGAGAAAATTCATAAAATAAAGATCCACTATTAAAAAGTAGAAAGAGCTATTTAGATTAATATTTAACATTGAGTAAAGATCTAGAGAGTAAAGATGACTTGTGGAAGAGGCAGAAGTAAGCAGGGACAAGGAAATGAGAAATCATAGGGACAGTTGAACTTCAGGGGAAAGGCTTTAATTATATTTTCTCCCCCCTGTCCAATTGAGGAGGGGGAGTGACAGAGCAGCTTTAGTGGGCACCTGGTGTCCAGCCAGGGTCAACCCACCACAGCATATGAGATCCTTTAGGCTCTGTAGAGTGAGTAAATTTTGTTCTGGAGCACAGTGGGAATTTCATCCACTGACAGTGAATTTGTCTTATAAATGTTAACTGTACCTATATTAATAGCTGTATTTTTTCTTTAATTGGAAGACTGATTTTTTTCTGTACTAAAGCATCCTGCTTTGGGTAGGAGGCTGGACTGGAGCATTTAAAGAGATCCCCTCCAACCTCACTCGTACTGTGAACTATTCTGTGAAACCCATTTTCTGTAGATATTCTGGTAATCCTGTAATCATCTGGGCTCACGCCAATGAAAGAAATGTGATCTCTAGGATTCACAACATGGTCAGACTTAAATGGGTAGTTTGAGGGCATATATTTTATATTAGTGCTTTAATGTTAAGATCTAGGAAGCTAGAATTTTATACAATTAGTTCACTTCACAATATTCATGAGAGGAATTCATTGTGAGGGTTTTTTTTTCCTATTTTTCTGTTATTTTGTTTTTCCTGCAGCTGGGCCTCTGGAACTTCCTCTTTTTGAGCTGATCCCATCACAAAGACAAGTGGTTTTTCATGGAGACCGCTTGCCATTTCAGTGTACTGCAACATATGTTGACAATACCACCCAAGTACATTGGTACCACGCTGGTCGCCTGATCGAAACAGATGAAGAGAGTGGCATATTTGTGGAGGACAGCATCATTCATGACTGCTGCTTAATTACACGGTAACGTATGCTCCTTGTAATAGTCGGACTTGTAGGCAAGTCTTGAACAGATGCAACACTTGCAATAAGCTTCATTAAAACATGTATTGGGAGCTGTTTTATTTGAAGCAATTCAATTCCATGCTTGAATTGGAACACACACAGGTATAGGTCTGGTCTCTCATGGCTATGAATGGCTGTGGTGCCAAATCGTATTTCTTCTGTCTAAGTATCCAGATTTGAGCAACTATGGATTTGAAACAGATAAAAACAGTTTCTTACACAGTAAACCATGAAAAGAAACTGAACTTAGAATAGCTTCAGTAGCGTATGAGAGTGAATTACAGCCAAACTACTTCTTCCTGACACCATCTAGAAGATTGATCTACCATAGTGATCTACCTGTGAAGAACTATCAATTTAAAAGGCTTGGATTAATTTCTGTAGGCTCCAATGTAGTGGATCCTATATTCTTTAGTTAAGTAATCTCATATTTGTTTCTTATTAAAATTTTTCTCTACTTTCTATGACTTTTACCATCTGTGTGCCTCTGTGTGCTTAAGAGACAGAGATCTACAGAAAGCTTTGCTGGTGTGAAAAATGCAACAGGAATGAAGTAGAATAGGCTTCTATAAAAGAAGTAACAACTAATATTTGGCAATGACCGTATTGTTCCAGTTTTGCTTCGGTTTTCCCTTTTAAATCTTACTTAATAAATTATTATTAATCTCTGTGTTTATTTTTGGTTTTCATCGTCGTGTACGGGCTTGTCACTAAAAGCCGCTAAGCTGTTGCACACAGCCTTTTGTCCTCTGCCAATTTCCATCATTGATCAAAAAAAGAGTCTGATTCTGTGTCTATGTTCTGCCTTTCTCTTTGTAGAAGATGGAGTGAAAATAGCTCTGCTAATTAGCTCTGGATCATCATTAACATCTTTTCACTCAACCAGTTTCTATTAATATAATTGACCTGAAATGCTTCTTTAACTATCAAATGAAAGTGATGAAGGGAGTCAAATTAATTCCTCTCCACTGGGGCCTTTTGTCTTTATTGATTTTAATTTCGTCTACTCACTGGTTATTTGACCCCTTTTGGAGTCCTATAGATCTGGAGGTGTAGATCTGACCTACTCTCACAGCTACTGGCTTCCTTCTAATACCGATGTGTATGGCTGCAGTGGATAATGAAAAAGACTATTAGACCAATTAGTATGGTAATGCCAAGTGCATGAGCTATTATAAAACTGCTGAGTCACTTAAATTAAAGCATGTTCTTCTTATTTTCCTGATATCAAAATTAAAAGACATGCTGTTAATCTCATTATATTATTCAACTGAATTATATTTTGCACTATATAAGCAATTTGTAGAGCATAGTAATAAACTGAAATAAATTGTCTAAAAATGTTAAGATTTTCAAAATAGCTCTCCTTTTTAAAAAAATAGTTTAGAAGTAGCTTGACTGAATTTTACCTTATATTGCTTAATTTTTGCCAGACTATAAAATAAAAATCATTGTCTACCATAGCAATATTTTAATAAGGATGGTTGATCTGCTACCTACCTCATTTACTGTGCCATTAAATAAGTGACCTTGATGCTCATGTTGCAGTATGCACTGGGACCAGGTATTCAGAAAGAATGTTCTCTAAATACATCATCGTATTTGCTGTTATAGACTGGAAAAATACTTTGACTTGTCCAAGTTATGTGATACAGACTGTCAAAAGGAGACAAAATATTTTTTGAATTAAACTCTCAATGTTTAAACACCTATTTAAAAGCTTAAAACATTTTAACTGCTCGTTTATTTGAGCTATACATTTCACTTCACAATATAGTAGGGCATCAACACTGCCTTTACTGTACAGCATGGTGCTTATCCAGTCAAAAATGCTAATGCTCAAGCAATCATGCCTCTGCCTCGATCGAGGGACTGATCAAAACTAGCTTACTGAAGGCATAAGAAACCTATACTTTTGAAACTAACTTTCAAAAACCATAGTATTTTGAAGTCAATGATTTTTTTTAATATAAATTATAGAGATGTATTGTCTTTTCATGTTGAAAATGAGAAAACATTGCTTAAGTTATGATTGTAAAAACTCTCTTCAGCATTTCTTAATTTTAATGCCATCATCATGACCATGTATACTATAACTCCATTTATATCATTATTATTATTACATGTTAAAATAGTATGTAATAGCATGCTTATTACATGTTACAATAGTATGTATTAATATGCTTGTTACATGCTATTACACACTAATTTGTGATAGTTCTTAAGGCTAAATCACAGTTGTACGAGGCATTGTGAAACATCAGAAAGACCCTGAGGTTATCACATGTTAAGTATAAGATTTGGAGTAAAAATAAAGGTAATTTAAAATCAGTTCTTACAGTGTCATATTTTGCCTTCCTATACCTACTCTTTACAGCAAATGTCCACTTTCTGTGGCTTTCTGTGATTATACTGAAGGACAGGCTTTGGCTTGTGCTGCTTAGCAATTGAAAGATTTCTGAAGCTAGTTTTGAACAAAGAGGTGAAGTCCTGTTCCAAAAGCTGCTTATTCAAACATCTTTAGATGGTTATTTTATTGGGTAGTTCCAGATATTTCTGGACGTGGATTTACAACACAAATATCATACTAAACCCTTCTGTTTTATTAACTGCCACAGTAGAAGGATAAAATATCCAAATGTGTATTTTTTGTCTCCTATGATAAAACAGAATAAACTAAAATAAATGTTTTTGTTACAATAATTAAACTAAAGTTTTGAACTGTATTCCGGCCTGTGACATTTTTCTTGGCAAAGAGTATTCCCTTATAGGAGATCTTGAGAAGGTGTTTTCAATTCTGCTGCTAGCTTGCATTTACCATTTCTTGCCAATGATAATAATATTTGATTTTGCTCATGTTGAATTTTCTGTCATTATGCCTGTGTATAAATGTCATAGTCGTACATGAAAATGTAAATGTGACATGGAACTAATTTCCTATCATCTGTGAAGGGATCTAGCTGAAATTGTGACTTGTGTTTCTATGAAGACAGCCTAATTTCTTAAGCCTGGAATATTAGATTATCCGTTTGATCACAATAAGCGGCAATGAAACAATCCATATCCCTGAAGCCACATAGAAAGCAGATTATGTATGATTCTCTGCAGCATAGCATCTTTCCCAACTTCCCCACTGTTCCCTTTCAGTCTTTAGAGAGGCTAGCAGGACAGTTATTAGAATATTAAACTCAAAAAGAGAAATATTTTAGTTTTATGAACCAAGCAACTCCCCAGTAGTAGAGAGACTTTAATATTCAGGAAGTTTCTTATTTACCACATAGACTATAATGACAATTTTAAAGTCTTTTTGGTTCTATTCTGTAAATACTTGTGTAGAGTGTTTAACAGTGCTTATGTCTCTGACAGCTGCAACGGCTGCTCTGGGACCATTACAGTTCACAAGTGCTCTTTCTGAAAACATTAAACTGTGCAGAAAGTTAAGAAGCCATAAAAAGGAGTGTTACAACTGGAGAAACTAACATGCTTTTAACTACACCTAGGATAGCAGGTGTTAGGATCAGATGTGTTTTTCAGATGTAATTTTTGTTATGTTATGTAGATAGATTTGCCACTGGAAACACAGACTATTAGGTCTCAACTGTGATCCCCCACAAATGGTGTTTTTCTCTTATATGCTGTGCTGAGTATTTTAGTCTTCTAAAAATGGCTGCCAAATGCAGTTCTTAAAACAAACAAACAAAAAAGTAAGCTTACGAATCTGGGTTTTGTTTAAAGCATCTAGTGCTTCCATACATTTTGACAGCAGTCAAAACCAATATGGTCAAATGTAAATAATGAAAGAAATAGTAATGTTTGAGATAAGACAATTATGAAACTCCAGCTGATCCTTTAGGTGTAACAAGGGTAGGGGAAATAGTAAGAAAACTGATTTTAAAATTTATACATAAAATGTGTATACTCATTTCTGAAAGCTGCTTTTAGAGGTATATGATCATGTGAAAATCTTCAAAACTTCCGTCTGCAAAAGAATATCTGATATCAAGGAAGAGTTTCAAATCATGATCCACTTGTACTGTAATAGCGAAGAAACTGGGGGAAAAATAAAAAGGAATGCAATGTTGTGCATTAAAAATTATGATCATATTTTTTGTAATCAAGAAAGTTTCACTAAAAGAATAAGGATAGTTTAAGGTATGGTTATTGAGAGAAATGAATATGAGTACAAATCGATTCCAGGAGTAGACAGGTGGTATCATGACAAGTTTGAGATCCAGGCAGGCAGACCGTATAAGAAAGAACAAAACTTCCAGAAATTCTGGGAGAAAGGCAGAAATTCTATGCCTATTTTTTCTGGAAAGAATCAAAATGACCCCTGAACTCTCTTAACAGTTTGTGGCAAGAATACATCTGGAAAAGATATGAAGCAAGCGGTAGTGGTTTGGACCGATATTAGGTTAAGAACAGTCTGAAAATGGTGTTTCGCCGATGAGCATGTTACTAGGTTGGATACACACTTGGAAGTTCAGATATGTGCCAAATCATGGCAAAATATTGGAGATTCACTCTGCACAAGATTAAAAAAATAGGTGTTAGAACAAATCCAAAGAATCTGATTCAGAAATGCAGATATTTGTGTTCTGCTGTCATGAGCATTTGGAGATGAGCAGCTGAGGGTCATGCTGAGAAGCCCAGGGAAGTCCGCAGAAATTGTTTAGTACTGATATTTTGTGGGTTCATCTAATTGACTCTGCTTGACCCTTAGTTGTTGAGCAGTTAGAAAGAAATGAAGCAAAATAACCATTTAAATTGCAAATCCATGTTTCTGTATCATTTTGAGATTACCTTAAACCCTGCAGTCAATGGTCTACAGCCTACTTCAGGCACTGTAGGCAGCAAAAGACTAGTAGCAGATGCACCTTTACCAGCAATGTTCTCGTACATCAACAGGAAGACAATATTTAAAATTATTGCAGAATATTATGAAATGCACAGGCTAA